AACAGAGGAAGAGGAAGGCCTCCTCTGCGTTGGAAAGACCAGGTGGAGAAGGACTTGGCTTCACTTGGCATTTTCAATTGGCGTCAGTTAGCACAGAAGAGAAATGACTGGCGTGCTGTTTTGGACTCGGCCAAAATCGCTTAGGCGGTTACAGCGCCAAATAAGAAGAAGAAGAAGAATCGGTGAACATACATTTTTTTCCGTTTGTGTCTAGTTGTCCATCTACTGAAAAAATTATGTTCGGTTTTGAAATTACCAAAAACTTATGTCCACATTTTTCATAACCAAATATGTATGCCCTGTTTTTGAATGACCAAATATATAGGTTTAGTTTTTAAAATTTTATGTCCAAATAACCAAAAATTATGTCTACTTTTAACATTTGTAAAAATGCCTGTCCAGTTTTTAAATAAGCAAATTTCAAAGATCAGGTTTTGCATCAACAAAAATTATGTCTAGGTTTAAAATGCACAAAAACGTATGTCTCGTTTTTAAATTACCAAACTTTTGAGTCCAGGCTTTGCATGATTAAAATTCACGCCCAATTTTTAAGTGACCAAAAATTGACGTGCACTTCTTTAATTACAAAAAAAAAATGTATGTCCAGGTTTTGAATGGCCAAAATGTATGTCTTGTCTTTTGTTGTTGAATTTTAGTTTTCAAGTGATCTAAAAAGTAGACTACTTTTGAAACAGATTTTAGATAGCCAAAAAATTTATGTCCAGCTTTAAAATGATCAAAAATATAAATATGCCTAGATCTTAAATGTCCAAAAAAATGTAGTTTTTAAATTACCATTAATTAATTAAATTCCAAGTTTTGCTTGCCTAATAACGTACATATGCCCGGCTTCTTAATACCCAAATATTTTTCTAATTCTAGAATTACCAAAAAAAATTATACTTAAATTTAAATTACCAGAAAAATATGCCCAGTTGTTTAATTCCTAAAAAATTAAGTTCTGGTTTTCAATTACCAAAATTGTATGCCAAATTTCAAATTTCAGCCATTTAGTTCTAGCGACTGAATTTGTAATTTTATGCGTGAGTAGATAGATTGTTTTTTTTTGTTGTTTAGCATCTTGCTAGTAATTTGCCGAATGAATTTTGTTTGAAGCCCTAAATTTCAAAACATATGCAACCAAAAACTTCCTCTACGAAATTTGTTTTTTATTAGTGTATTTTTGCTAAGTTCATTACATAATAACCAGCGCAAATTAGAGCTTATAATTTTCCCACCGGCACTTTTTAATATACCGCAAATTTCCTGTCATTTCTCTAACATTCAAAAAGGCGTGAATAATATGCGGTTTTTCCAACTACGTTGCTAGTGGCAACATAAAAAAAAACATACGTACATACGTATACCTGTATACTGTACTATATATACATACTTATAAATATATGTATGTAAATGTATAACTAAATATAGATGTATGCCATAGCAGGGAGACATATTTTCACTTTTATTTCCTGTTAAGTAAGTGTTTTCACGTCAGCGGAAATGTGTTTAAAATTATGATTTAATTTAAAATGATTATCACGCAGTTGAAAAGGATGTACGCATCAGCGATGTCGTCCTCTCAGAGCGCCACAAAGTATGAGATGGTAATAACGGTGTAGGTTTATGTGATAGAAAATATGTAAGTAAAATGGCAGTAAATTCACATTCAAACATGCACACACATACTTACATACGTAGCTGGGAAGTAGATATCTACCAGCAACAAATATGTAAAGATACCTCGATGGTGGAAGATATCGCATAGGAATAACGTAGGAGGCTTAAGAGGGCTCAAGCTAAAGCCAAAAGGTTGTATTTCAAAGAATATGTATATAGTGATAACAGTAGGCATGCACACACATGCATTTGGCTCAATGTGCAAATACTCGTACGCAACGGTTTATGTGCCTTTTTGTGCCATGAAATGTACTATATACTTGTATGAAAACGCAGATAGGCTGCTGACTGCTGTCTACTAAAGAGTTACGGAGCAACTACCACATAGTACTCGCACGCACACATGGACGTCTTTATTAGTAACTGTATCAGCATGAAATTGATGTTAAACGGATGTTAAACATTCACAACAATGGAAGCTTCCGCTTTAGCGATTGCACACGTAACGAACAACAACAATTCATACTTTAATATTAATACTACTATTTATACAACTCGGCCGCTGTGGTGTAGTGGTAAGCAGTGCGCGCTTCCACTCCACAATGCCTGGGTTCAAACCCTGGTCAAAGCAACATCGCAAAAATATAGAAAAAAGGTTTTTTCTTAACAGCGGTCGTCCCTCGGCAGGCAATGGCAAACCTCCGAGTGTATTTCTGCCATGAAAAACAGCTTCTCATAAAAATACAATCGCCGTTCGGAGTCGGCGTAAAACTGTAGGTCCCTCCGCTTTGTGTGACAACATCAAGGCGCACGCCACAAATCGGAGGAGAAGCTCGGCCAAACACTAACATATGTGTAAGCGCCAATCTATTATTATTATTATTATTTATACAACTCACATACACAAACGCACATTTAGCGAACACGCAAGGTTATAGGTACATATCGCGAAAAGCACACCGACAGACCAACCGGCAGACCGAACGACCCACAGACAATGTGCGATAATAACAATGACAAAAATACGCAAGAAAACACAAACACAAAAGTAATTTATCTTTTTCGCCAAAAAACACCCGCTTTCTCGCACACAATGCATTCGAACAGTAGGAGCAACTTCTGAAACTCTGGACTTAGCGATCAACTGAAACGATAAGAAAATGCTATTTGAAGAATGTGGGAGAAGCTGAAAGAAAGACTAAAGGGGGAAGACAAAAATGCGGAGCAGATAAAAAAAAAAAAAACAGAATCCGCTACAAAAAAAAGCTACAAAGCAGAGTATAGAAAAAGTTTTGGTTAGAGAAGAGCAGAAGAGATAAGAGTGAGTACGCGAGAATACGCAACGCTTCGTCATGGTTGCGCGCGCTGCTGAGTGGGATTGTGAGTTGGCAAAGGTAAGAAAGTATTTCTTTTACGACACCGCCCACAAATTTTATGNAAAAAAAAAAACAGAATCCGCTACAAAAAAGCTACGAAGCAGAGTATAGAAAAAGTTTTGGTTAGAGAAGAGCAGAAGAGATAAGAGTGAGTACGCGAGAATACGCAACGCTTCGTCATGGTTACGCGCGCTGCTGAGTGGTAATGTGAGTTGGCAAAGGTAAGAAAGTATTTCTTTTACGACACCGCCCACAAATTTCATACATTTAAAAAATATGTTTATGCTTTTCAGCTTGCCGAAAAGTTCCCCTTTTGCATTCTCATTGCTGCTTGACGAAATATGTTCTAAAGAAAACTTATAAAAAATATTAAAGCGAAAAGTAAAATGCTTTTTTTTCTCATTTTTCTCATTGGCAAACGGATATGCTGAATTTATTCGGTGTCAACGAGGTCACTAAATTACCTTTCATTTTGTTCGCTCTTTACTTGCTGAAAGACAAATGTGTTTTTTGTATTACCAACGCTATCTTACTGCGGACGATAAAATGTATTTGAGTAGCTACATACTTATGAGTAGCTAAAAGTTTGTCCAGAAAAAAATAAAAATAAAAGTTATTTTGAAACTTTTGTCATCAATTTTGCTACATTTTCATTCCGTTTTATAATCTTAAATTGATATAAGAAAATAAGGCAATCAGTTTTTTGGGTTATGTAGCTTTTAAGCCAAGGCAAACTTTAAATATTTGAATAGAATACTAACTATTATTTTCTTTCACCTTTGATCTTAGGGTGTGAGCTGAGCACAGAACAAGATTACCAAGCCAGCATTCGAAATTCCGTTAAGAACAAGGATTTAAAGGGACAGCTCGCGGCGGCTTTACGCATTTAAATTTTAACTCCTTAGTCAAATATAAAATAATTGCAATCTTTTTAAAGTTAAATTTTTTTTTTTTGAAGCCATAAAAATATGGTTAACGCTTTAAGAAAAACCATATAAATCAAACTTTCACTCGTAGGTTTGCCACTGTCTACCAAGGAGCTACAGCTGTTAAGAAAAAACGCTTTTCTATATATTTTTGGCGATGTTACTTTGACCAGGACTTGAACCCAGGTCCTTCGGAGTGGGGGAGCGCACTTTTTGCTGTTAAGGGAACGAAACAAGACCCGATGCGGCATATCATTTTTCAAAATGATTTACGACTCTTTTATTATGGCCTGTGTGTTGCATCGATAATTTTCGGATGACGATAGGAACTTTTTCCAATATTCAGTGCCCACAGAAAAGGTAACCAGTGCACTGCAGCACAAAGAAGGTAGAGTGCTTAAAAGCCTTTGAAAAGTAACGTAATTACCTTTCCAAAAAATTATTTAAATTATTTACAAGGTTGTAATTTGAGGCCAAATTGCCACAGATGCGAAAAACCCTTATGTATTTGTAATGTAATTACAATGGGGTTAAATTTTTTCTTAAATCGAATTCAATTTATCGCATTAAAAAAACGCATATAACGTTGATGCAGCATCAATACTGCAAATTTTTTTGTTTCAATAAAAAGCCACAGACACAAATCTTCTTATGCTGTTGACAAGGAAATAATTTCGCTCGTTGGATGTACATAGAGGAAACTCTTTTGAGGCAGACCATATTTAGTAGAAAGTATGTTCTTTATTCTTAAAAATCAACATTGCGAACATAGTGAAGTTTGAAAGGGCGTTAATAAGAGAAGGCGACAACTTTTGGGCCAATGTTTGCACCAATTCACAGACCCCACTTAGCCAAACCTGCAGCAAAAAAAAAATAAAAATATTACTAAACTCTGTAATTTTAAAATAAATTGAGCTTCTTGCAACTTTTCGATGAAAAATTGTCTACATAGTAGGTATGTGTCCACTGTACAGCCGTTTTTTTTTTTTAATTTTTTTCATAACGATTGCTTTAAAAAAATATTTGCTAAGCTACGCATATGAGTCCCCTGAGTAAATGCAGCGATTGTTTGGAAAACCAATACGAAAATAAATAAGACATAATTTTTAACACCAAAGAATCTACAAGTATTCAGCACGCATATGGCGTTAAATCAAATTTTATTGTTAATTTGGGTTCATGTTATGTGACGTTAATGGCAAGTTATGTTTTGTATTGCCAATATTTGCGGTCCACATGCGTCAGTGGTCAATAAAGAAGGAATGTACGCATTCTAAAAAAGGGAAGGAAAACACTCTACTCCTTGGGGTAATCTACTTGTAAATAAATATTTACTTTTGGCCACAGGCTATTTTCTAATAACTTTTCAAACAACATATGAGTCAAGTAATTTGTTGATTGAAAAAAAATATTGAAAGGTGTGAGCAAAAGTTGCAGTGCTTAGTTTAAAAAGGGAGAGAGAAATGTAGAAAAAACTTACATCCATAAAGATGTTGGAACTGAAAATTGTTTTTAGATTTTTAAAGTAAAAAATGCAAAATGCCATAGATTTCGAGCCGTTTTTGAAAGTGTCATAAGAAACTTGTCTTATTATGGAACATGATTTCTTCATGCCTTTAAAAAACTGTGACTTTGAATATATTTTTAGGCATTAATAAAAGAGCGAAAGTGAATAATTATTTTTCAGGATTTTAAAGACTTTTGTCAGAATTTTCTTTGAAATTTTATCGGAAAATTTCCAGTTTTTGGAATTTTTCGAGTTTCTCTACGATTTTCTCGGGATTATTTTTGGAAGTTTTAGGCATTTTTTAAGCTAATTTCGGTATTTTTTTTAATTTTTAAGAGATTTCATTTTTTTTTAATTAGTTCGCAGTTCTCGGAATCACTCCTGACATTCTACGATTTTTTTATGAATTTTCTGATTCTTTTTCGAGAGCATTTTTGGGGTTTTCTTAATTTTTCGGAATATTTTTAGCAGATAGCAGGTTGGTTTTGGTATTTGCTTCGAATATTTCAGGGGCTACTTTCCGGAAGTTTTCGGAATTTATTTTTTAACTATTTACGGTATAGATTTTTTCAAATTTTGCGGAATGTTTTCAAAGCCTTTACGGGTATATTTTCGTGAGTTTCTTCGAACTCCTTTTTAGTATTATTCAGTTTTTGAAATTTTTCTGAATTTATTTTGGCTTTTTTCGGGACTATTTTCAGGGAATGTTCGAACAATACTGAGTGGTTTTGCGAAATTTTCTTAAATTGTTTTTTTTTAATTCTTNTCGAACAATACTGAGTGGTTTTGCGAAATTTTCTTAAATTGTTTTTTTTTTTAATTCTATTAATTTTTCGAGATTATTTTCTTCAGCTTTCTGAATTTTCGGAATTTTCTTCAAATTCATTTTTATGTATTGTTTTCGGAATTGTATCTTTTTTCTTAAGTTTAACTTTGGTAGTTTTTGGAGTTTTTCGTTTTATTTTTGGAATTGTTCGAATGTTTTCGTGGGATTATTTTCGGGAGCTTTAGAATTTTTGGCATTTTCGTCGATTTTTTTCTGTATTATTTTTGGAACTTTATGGATTTTCTAAGAGTTGGTTTGGGATGACTTTTGGTAGTTTTAGGAAATTTCAGGGATTCATTTGGGGTATTTCATAAGTTTGAAACTTTTTGTAGATAACTATTTATTAGCTTTTTGTGATTTCAGAGGATTCTTTTTCCTAAAAAGCAAACTGCAAAAATAATAAAATAAACGTTTACTTGCTAGTTTGCTTTTTACTTGATACTCAATTCCTTCTCTGCTGGCATGTTTTTCAATCTTAAGGCTCGCAAAATTGAGTTTGTGAATTCGTATAGAAGTATTTAGTTCTTGCTTTTATACAACATTAGCCGACCAATAGCTTTGCCAAACTATTTTCTATTTCTCGTCACTTTTATTTCACAGTATCCAACATGAGATTGTGTCAGGAAGACTTAATTATCTTCAAAAGTGATACAAATAATCTTTACCATGTGCAGGAGAAGCACTAATTAATCCCACGTATTTAAGCTCATTGAGTTATATTACAAATGCAGCATATTCCCTTACAGAAATGTTGTAAATATGTATGTACAAAGACACTTCCTTATTTACAAGCTGGATTTCCAATACAGTCTTGTGCAAATTCAGGCATCAATAAGTTGTTATGAAATTCTATACCTTAGCCTTTCAATCAAAGAGTACTCTTTAGCTTGGTTACGTATACGCAGAGGGTACCATTGAAGGCACATATATGTATATATATGTATATATATACATAGCACTTACACAATTTTATTGCACACACACGCATGAAATTAATACGCTTTCACGTAAAGATGCTTTGCCTTATTACACCGAAAGACAACGAAGGATACTAATTACATCCTATGAAGAAATTTCATTGAACGATTTGTATAAAAGAGTGAATAGTTATTTATGCAAGCATGCGATTACCAAGAGATATTGCGAGGTTGAATGGTTTCGCATAAAATAAAGAATATTACTTAGAGCCTCAGCTAAACGTACGTTATGTTATTTTCAACATACAACAACAAGCAAAGCATAGCTACAGAACGTAATGGCTACAAGAGCAAAAGACTACGGGTTCCCCATGATAGCCATGCCCAGGCAGCGGACAACAGGCAGCCTAAGCAGCGATGCGGACAATAGCCACTGATGAGTGATATTTATGTGTGTTTTTTTTTCTTGTTCAGCCTTTGCCATAAGTATTCTTCCTTTTCAGCATTTTTCTTCAATACCCTTTTGCATTTCCTGCTCTATTGCAACATGCAATTACCATATTGATTGCTATCGGTCTTGAATCAAGACATAATGAGAAGGCCGCAGGAGATGCGAAATAACAAGAGAGCGCTCTAAAGTAGACACGGAATGTGCATAATCACGTCACTGCTTGGGGAATAGATATTGTTGCGTAACTATTCTAATCTATGTGGTTAGTTCAATGGAGTGATTGGTAGAGCAAGCGTCTCGGTTCTAGAGGATTTTTTTTTTTATCTCCAATTACAAGCAGTGAAGATGAACTGGTGGTGAGCAAAATGTGCTACTATTATAAGGTCATGTAAGGATAATTAAAGGCATTCATTCTTCTTACTTTTTCGATATTTTTAAATTTCTACACATACTTTTCTTTCTAATAAATTCCGATAAATAAGCCAAGAGGGTATTAATTGAACGTTGAGTTAAAAAAACAGCCTTAGAGCTAAATATAGATTAATAAGAAAGGCAACTACAAACTACGATGAGATACAGATTTTCCTAAAATTTCAATAAACTGCATAATATTCCATTACTTTCACCAGTATGTATGTATGTAAGTATGTAAGTCAAGTCATCGAAGACCGTACTAATGCATTTGACGCTACATTTTTCTCTGTGTAAAATTGTATTTCAGTTCTTTAGATATATGTACGTATGTACTTATGTGTATAACTTCAAATTCGTATAGAATTACTGAGTTATAAATAAATCTTTTTACGTCATTTTCTTAGCCATCTCACATTTTTTGTATTACTTTTAGTTGCCATATTCTACGTACTATTTTTGTTCGGATATATCACTGTAGAATCAATAGCATGCTATTACTCCTTCCTTCTCTCTATTTCGTTCGCCAACTTCTTCATTTTCTGTCGTTCTCACGTGCTATATAATTTTGTTAGAATTTAATTCCACTAATTCTTTGGCCCCGCTCAACACTAACTCTCCTCTGAATAAGTGCACAGCGTCCACTGTGGCCGCCGCTGGCATTATTATCGACTTGCCGTTAGTTTCGTAGCGGTTTTCTATGCAATCAGTTCTGTTATTGTTTGTGCTTTCTACATTGAACCCCATTTACCCAATCAGTTTATTGCCTCCTCCGCAGCCAGCATCGTATCCACCGTTTTTTCCCGTAAGCGCATCTAGCTAGAAAATTGTATTTTTCCAGCAGCGAGCAAATGCTGAAAAAAGTGTTGTCCAAAGAAACAACTAGTGACTTCAAAAGGGTTTGATGTAGTCGCTTGTTTTTATTTATTTTTTTGTAGGTTTTGCTTGTTTCTGATATTTTTGTCCTATGCCCGTGTATCAGCGTAAATCCTCGACTTCTGTTGTTATGGTATGGGTACGAATGCGAGTGGAAAAAATTACGTTTATTTTGTCGTACTAGTAGTACGTATGCATGCAGGTATGTTAATTAGGGTGGTTTAACAATAGATGCGAGAGATTAATGTTATAAAAAGAATACCAGCATTTTTGTGTTAAAAAAACGTTATTTAGAACTGCCTCAAAGTCCATGAATTTCATAAGGGGGGAAAAAATTCTACGGTGTGGTCGTGCATATATTAGTCCTCAAACAATAATTTTTTGAAAAAAAAAATATTGAAAATTTTCTAGGATATTTGAGCACAAAGTTTTTAAAGGACATTTCCCATACCCATTCGTCCTTGTGCATCAAAAAATGTATTCTGTTATAATTCTACAGATTTTTTTTTATATGGTATCCAACTCTTATCTTACATTGCATCGATTTTTTTTTTTTAAAAATACCGACGTCAGAGATAGAAACTAAGAACGCAATTTTACTATAGGTTAGGTTAGGTTGAAGCGGCTGCCTTCATCCAACATAGGAGAGAGGCACATTTAGACCCAGTGGGTCCATTCTGATACCGATTGAGAGCTCGAATTCGAATCCATCCGTTCGCCTAGAAGTGGAACCATTGGTTAGGTTTATAAAGCGCGAGAATCCGTAAATGCCTGCTTCACTAAGATCCGCAAGAAAATCAAAACGGTGGTGGTGAAATGAGCGTCTTCTCGCCCACATGAGGGCGGGGCAATGACAGAGATAGTGTTCCATACTTTCGATTTCGTCCTCGTCGCAGCAAACACGGCAGAAATCATTAGCCGGCAAACCCATTCTGCTAGCATGCCTTCCCATTAAGCAGTGGCCCGTAAGTTTTACTATAATTTAACCATAGTTTCAGGAATATATTCATTTTTTTGTGTCTGAAATTTACTGTCACACGGTGAAATATATAGCAGTTCTAAGTAGTAATGAGAGCTTAACATTTTAACCTTTTTTGGACCATCCTAATGTACATACATACATATACAACAAGCATTCATCTTTATTTTCATCATCTGTATTAGTATTGTCGCTGTTTTGCTGTTTGTTACTGTCGCCATTTGACGCCGAATACTGGCGTCACAATGTCCCGACACAAAGCACGAATACCACAGAGGTATGAATCGAAATGTTTTGAAGTATACGTATACGTAAGTATGTATAAAACTCGCAACACTAAATCCACGTTAAATGCCGAGCTTAACAAATAGACACAAAATTGGAAATGTAGCAAAGCTGAACCGTGTAGCCAGCCGTTCAATTGGATGTCACAGAGTGAGCATAAAATTTGCTGATCTAACGCTGGAGATATTCTTCATCAAATCTCACAAACACATTAAAGACGTATTTTTGTTGCAAGGAAAACCATATAATATATAATTTTTTTTTATGTTTCCAATTACTGCTGGAGCTCGAGCGGAGTAAAAATGTTATTGGTAAAACAAGTATACGTTGGTTGCAGTGCCTGCTAGTAGCTGGCTTGGATACATTTAACGCTTTTTGGCATAATTTTGATGGACTTCTCAAGTGCAATGTTTTTTCTATGTAAACTCTACATTGCTTGACTGCATCTTTTTGATTTATTAAATTTCATCGGCTTGCGTAGATGATAAATTTACCTGGACTTCGCTTATGGGAGTTCCTGATAAATATTTAAGCAGTTTTGCTACATAAATTTCTATTGATTTATATTACATATGTACTTAAACTTTCGAAAAACTTGGGCATTTAGCCAGGAAATGCTAAATACTTTATTTGTTCTCTTTTAGGGAGTACCTTCTAATATAAGGTAGTCCTTGCTTTCCTTTTATAGTCAGGCCAGAACTCTGTTATCTTGCAAGTCTGTTGCTAAGAACAATTCAGCTGCCTGGAGGTTTTCTTAGAGCATATGCATATAAAGCAGATTAAAAGAAACCTGAAAATTCATTATTCGGAAAGTTCGTTATACCGGATGACAGTAACATTTTTTGGTTTAAGTGTCAACAAATAATATTTACCAGGGACATAACAGTTATAAGTTTTATAGCAAAAACGTTGCTCCGTAACAGTTATTAGATGGGAAATATTTTTTATTTCGTCGATAAGACTACATACAGCTGGAGTCTGCATTATAAATAAGAACCATTTTATATACAGTAAATAAAGTTTTTAGTAGAAAGCCGGATCTTTGAGCAAATATGTATAAACCCTACTAACTACCATCAAAATATTAATAAGCTGTTAAGGCTTCACACTCACAGATATACAATGCAAATTCCTTTTCGAATGGCGTACATCTCTGTAAAATAATTTATCTCATATTACCATTATAAATGTTAAAGGGAATTGCAAAAGTTATAAAATTTGCAAGGAAAGCTTCTACTACCCACATCTTTTCCAGAACGGACTCGTAAGGCATATCAATGGCACCCCTTGAACAATATTTAAGTAACCAAATTATTTAAATAGCCAATGAACGGGGTAAACCCCCGTGAAGGAGCTAGGCTTCTTGGCCATCCTATAACAGAAAACAAACACCTTAACAGAGCAATTCTGGCTGAGATATAAAGTCTTTTGTAAAACAACTGAGTAGGCAAGATATTTTGAAAGAATTTATTTATTCTGTCACGAACGTCTTACAAAAACATCACCCTTGCCTAGAAAGCAAATGAACAAAGCATGCCATTCGAGGGGTCCTAGGTCGAGCCAGCGGATTTTTTTTTTTTGATTTTTCAATTAATATTCTATAATTTTTAAATATTATTCTTCTAAAAAGAATAATAATATGTAATTTTTTTAAGTTTATCAAATTTTTAAAAGCTTATTTGCTTTTCTCATTTTATATTGTTTTTCTTTTTGAATGTTATTTTTTAGTTTTTAGTGATTTAGAAGGGCAAATATGTTATTTATTCTATTTAGTATTTAAAAAAAATTATTTCTTTCTTTTATTTTTAATCAAATTTTTTAATTTAAGTTTTATATTTTTTGTTTACAAAAAACTTTTTTTTTAATTTTTCAATTTTTGATTTTTTTAATTTATGAGAATTGAAGTCGGTTTTCTGCTTTGCTTAAAAATTACTTGTATTTATTTTTTTTATTATTTTTTTATTATATTTTAAAAATAAAAATATTTTGTTTAATTTTATCTGATTTTTCAAAACTTCTTTAAATTTATTTTTTCCTTTTCATAAAAAGCAACATATTTTTTTATTTAATTTAATTTTTTGGAGCTTTTTTACATTTTTTTCGTTTTTTAATTAATATTTTGTTGATTTATTTTTTATCTGTGTCTGCAAACCAAGCTTGACAAGGCATGACGAAAATTAGTTCCAAAATAAATCATCTTACCACCTTGTCAGAAAAATCAACCAATAAATATTTTGTTCTAATTAATTATGTTTTTTCCTTTTTATCTAAATTTTCAGACTTCACTGTTTTAAAAATTAACACTAATTTTTCCGAAATCTGTTTTATAAATTTTCTCTTTTGTTAAATTTAAATTTTTTGTTTTTAATTATGTTTTATTTATTTTTAGAATGCATATTAGAGTGGTCCAAAAAAATTAAGTTGGAATTTTAATGCCGGAAAAATCCTGGACCACTTTAATGCATATGTTTACTATTTTAAAAATAAGAGGATAATTTTTTTGAATTCTTATAATTTTTAGCAACTTTATTTATTTATATATTTTAAATAAATAATGTTTTTTTTTCAATTTAATTTTCATATTTTATTGTTTTAAAAAGATTATTAATAATTTTTTTTTATTTTTAGTGGATAGCTGATTTTTTCTTTTTCCCAATTTGACAGTTTTATCTTTTTTAATCTTTAGATTTTATTATTTTAAAAATAAAAACATGTTTTTCATTGCATTTAATTTTTTAGTAACTCCTTTTTAATTTAGAAATTTTTTATTTATTCTTTAAATTTAGTTTTTTTTTTTAATTTTTATTTTTACAAACAATTTCCTTTATATTTTATTTAATTTTCGGGAATTCCTTTTTGTCTTCCATTTTTTAATAAAGTTTTTTTTCTAATTAATTTTTTTTAGTTATAGACTTTATTATATTAAAAAGAAACTATTTTTCAATTTCACTTAATTTCTAGGAACTTATTTAATAATTCTTTTTTCTTCTTAATATAATTTTCTTTAGATTTTGTTTTTAATTTAATTAATTTTTTGAAACTTATTTTGTTATTTAAATTTCTTTTTCTTTTTTATTTTAATTTTCTTTTAATGTTTAGCTTTTTTGTTTCAAAAGAAAAATTTATATCCTTTAAATTCATTTAATTTTAAGAAAGTTTGACAAGCAGAAAAGTGCTTAGCGGATATTTCAATAAGTCTTTTGAAAGGTAGAATAAAGCTTTCAAGCTAGTTACCATAATTGACAATTAATTGTCTTATGAAGGACTTTTGTCCCTCGAATGACTGTGGTGAGTTGAAAGACAGTTACCATAATTGCCCTGTAAGTCTTCATATAAAGACTTCTACGGTGCACTGTTTAATTGGCTGTAGGATAAGTAGGAAAAAGCAATTCGAATATTTAGTATGTGTAGTTAATGTTTTACTTACTTCAACTCTTTAGCAAAAAAAAATTATCACGATACCTTAATTAAGATTGTACAGCCGGACTTTGTATGACCGTTAAAGATTTAGATGTCAATTATGCAATATAGTGAAAAATACTAAGCTATGAGTAATATGCGTTATATGAATGAGCGAGTAGAATATGAAACTATGTGAATTTATTGCGTTAGCTTTGTGTGAGAAATGATGAATGTGATTTGAAATAATTTGAAAAATCAAAGTGCTAATACTCAAGTTTCAATATGCTTCATAGGAGAACTCTGTGAATATGCAAGGTGAAGTGAAAAGAAGCGGTTTTAAAATGAGCAAACTATCTACTTATTGTACAAGTTATGTATTGTGAAACATTCAATTGAGGAACTCTTTAACTACAAGCGCAAATACATGATTTTTTTCAACTGTCTTGCTATCTTTGTTCTTAACATTTTCCACTTTATTTTTTAAATTTTTCTTAACAGATGACAGGCAAACCTTTTTTTACAACTTCAAACTCTTTGCTCTAAAGCAGTCATTTACCGTTTCGTGACACATTTCTCTCACTTTGACTTCAAAACTTCTCCGATATACTGTAGATGCGTTTCACACTCACGCACTTGCGTCTCAAACGTTCACATTCGATTTCCCGAAAGTCCGCATGCGACGACGAACCCGAATTTGATAGACCGAATTCACGTTCTTCGCCTAGCCCAGGATCACTGTCCTCACCGCACGAGGCTAGCGACGCGGAACCGGCCGATGCGGATGCCGAGGAGTCAGATGACTCACCACTCGAGTCCGATTCACAATCCGATGAACTGGCGTCACTTTCGTGCCTACGCAACGCGCTCGCGGTAACGTTGGCAGCTGAGGCAATACGATTTCGTGGCTTCTCTCGTTCGATAGCACGTGCAGGGTTGGGTGGATCACGCGATGGACTGGCTATTACCGCCAAACCATGCACCTGCACACTTTCCACACCCCCTGTGCGTTTCTTTTCGTTGTTTGTTGCGTTTTTATTGTTTTTGTTTTTGCTATTATAATTATTCTTACTCAATATGGCGCGCTTTAAGTCTACTGCCAGAGGCGAAGCAGGTGTCGCCGTGGGCGGTAAGCAATCAAAGTGATTTACGCTCGCGACTGGCTGTTGGGTAATCACACCCGCAGGCACGCCCAGCACCGAAGCTGTTTCGGGAAAAATGCGATTATCCGAATTGGAGGCACCAAATTTCGAGAAAAGTGAACGCGCCGAATGTTTGTTCTTCTGCTGCTGCTGTTGCAGGAAGTAGTAGTCGCGCGGCAGCGATGAGGTAGCGTACAACTCTTGTGACTCGTAGACGCTACGATAGGCGGGCCGAAAGGCAGCACCACCACTGCTGCCGACACTACCAACGCTTGCGCTAGCCGCGCTTAAGCTGCCACTACCAGCCGCTGAACCAAAAGTGCTACCCAAACCGCTGCTGTGGAGCGCTGGCGTGCTAGCTGAGTTATCGCTATTGCTACGTTCACTGCGCACGCTACTGCTGCTACGTAGCTGTTCGAGCTGTTCGCGTTGTTGTTGTGCGCGCAGCTGTTCACTTATGATGCTCGCTGAGGATTCGCTGGGCGAGAGTGAAATGTTGGAGGTGGCAGCCAACAATTGGGCGCCCAAGAGCGGCGTTAAATTGGCGATGAACTGCTCTTGTTGCTGCTGCTGTCGCTGCTCGTCCAGTTGGCGGCGATACGCTTCGATTTGATCGGTTGAATTGGGTGATGTACTATGCATGCATCCTTGAAAGAAATCCAGTGCTTCGTATAGAATGAAACATAGCCCAAGGACAATGAATGTCTCCATCATAATAATGTGGTGGCCAACAGCGGCATTTTACGCCACAAGCCACAGCTGATCGACTCACGTACGCGCGCACACACACACACAAGCGACTACAAACAAGCACAGAGGCAATGGTTCAGAACCAAGCGACCGAAACCAATCGCTAATTGTTTTTTTTTTTTTGAATTGTTGGCCACGAAAACAAATTGCACTCGAGGCAGCACTAACGCGTAGGCGTTTTCGATGAATTGCGATTTTTATTGAATTTATTTATTTTTTTTTAGTAGCTTGTTACTCAAATGTTTTATCTTTCGTTAAAATCTTTTTTTGTTCTATTTTGTGTGTATCAAAGCATTTTGTGCTGTTTCACTATATAATTTTGCTGCTGAAAACTCAAGCCTAAAAGTATACAACAAGAAGCAATTGCTTTAATTGCACTGTATTTTTTGTGCAGCGCATTGCGAACACGTGTGAAAATTTGCCAAAAAATTTGCGTAAACAAATTATAAATTAAAGCAATCAACTTAAAAGTTTACAAACTCATAACGTGAGCGATTGCAAAAACAAATTGAGAAAGTTTATGAATACTTACCTATTTTTAGGCGCTTGCTTAAGATCCAAATGGTATATCAGACATTTTTTGTTGTTTGTGTTTATATACGATATTAAATTTACGCAGGACTTGTGCTTTCATTTGTTTTTGAAATCCTGCACTTGTTAATCGTATTACGTATTTTTGTAAAAAAAAAAATATTTGTAGTGTATGTGCATTAACGGATTATTTTCCTTTCAGCGTCAACTTAATTTGAGTCTCAAGACTGACAAAGAAGAACAGCAATTGAGAAAGCAGCGCCTATGTACCAGTATGTATATTTTCAAATGAATACTTTGGGACAAAATTAATTCGTTACCTGCTTTGTTTGCAGCGGTGGAATACTTGAAATATTTTTTTTTTATTAATTGACTTATAAGTGTAAAACCGATATAATCGCATTTGAAATCAGAAAAAGATAAAGGCTTTATATTCTGGAATACATAAAATTTAAAGAAAGAAATCTCGCTGAAATAATTTAAGAATTTGGAAATGGAAAAATAAAGTCATCCCAAATTATTGCATAAAACAATACACTACGTGATGCTCCCAGATGATTTCAGTGTTCTAGCTAGCTTCTTAGTTATTGTGATTGATTTTCGGTAAAATAATTAAAAAAAACTGTGTGTGGATACTTAAGGGCCGCGCACACAAAGCGCTTACAGCTGAAATTTAAGAGGATCCTATAAGCTAGCTTATAAGCGCTCAGTAGGCGAAAAATGCTTAAATGTAAGTGCATCCCAGGAGCTAATAAATATCTATCAGCTGCGGTAAAAAAATTACGTAATATTTATTTATAATTATTTTTATTTTTCATGCCGAACCTTAGTCTTATATTACAATCGTTTATCACATTGAACAGCTTCAAAAACTAATTCAATTACCTTATATCTATCTACCTTTGGCAAATGGTAATGACAATGTTGAGTAATGGTAATGGTAAAAGTAATGGCAATGCTTGACGGAAATGGTAAATAGTAAACGGTAATAGTAGATGGGATTGGTAATGATAATGGTAATTGTGATGTTAGAGGGTAAATGTTAAATGGTGAATGGTAATGGTAGTGATAAATGATAATGGTAATGATAAATGGTAATGGTAGTGGTAATGATAATATATATGATTATGGTTACGAGATGGGTAAAGATAATAGCAATAGCAATGGATATTAAATTAAATTATACCTATTATCGGTAATGGTATTGGTAATGGTAATGGTAATGAAAATGGTAATGGCAATGGTGATGGTAATGGAAAAGCTAATGATAATGGTAATGTAAATGGTTATGGAAGTAATTGTAATGAAAGCTATGAAATTATAGCAACTATAAAAATAAAGCTACAAAAATAATTAGATGCAAAAACATAATTAAGATGAAGTAGCACTAAACTAACTAAAGGTGGCAGCCCCTTTTTGCCAAAATTTTGTTTTTGAAGCAGAATAACAGATAATGCGAAACTAGATCGATTTTACGTCTCTCCTGAACAATTTCAAAAAATGGACTTCGGACCTTTTCACCCTTGGGTAAGGATATTTATTCTTTGTTTTGAAAATTTGTAGTTCAATAACAGTTCACTAATTTACAGTTTAATTTAATTAATACAGAGAAAATAGTGTTGAATGTCGTTAGTAAGACAATCTTAACTCGATAAACGATTCTAACTTCGTACTAACTGAGCGCTATCCCAAAACTGAAAACTATCCCAACTCACATGCGCCTATTTTTTGTGTCTTAACTCCAAAGCTTAAGAGCTTAATGTACGATACAAAAAGTGCTCTCCTGCAAGGCCACCTTTTTATTGGGCTTCCGTCCAGATTCGATCTGCCTGTAAAGAAATTATTATATGGTACCGCCATTTATTACCGAAAACCGGCTCATATATAACAAACTTAACCCTCTTTTTAAACAAATTTTCCTTTGAGCGGTTTTTCTATTGTATACGTTTTTAAAGACCCCTAGAAGAATGCTCGAGTTCTGCTACCTAGCTGTTATTTTTATCTCACCCTAAAAGAATACTATACTTTTTGGAGAAACGAGTTGGAAGATTCGCACTCAAAATATGCCTCACGCGATTGGTTTTTATGATTCCCCGCCAAACGGTGAAAAAAGAGAATCAGATTTAAATTAAATTATCGAAGGGTCGATAACAAGTAAAAAGCAACTAACAAAGAGCGGAAATAAAATCAGGAAGAGGTAGATATCCTGGGAGTAAACTCTTACTACTCAATATATTCCAAAATTGCACTGAGTTGAGAAAGTTAAATCCACAGCGCAAATTTCGCAATTAAGCAAGAAAATATGCGATTACATCAATTTCGGTTACTTAAGCTAGTTGATTTTATTTTAATATATACGGAAATTAAATTGCCTATAACCAACCTCATAGAGCAAAAGGTTTAAGTAACTTTGCTGTAGAAAATCTAAGTATTTTCGCCCGCAGCTGTAGTCATTAATTTACTGCGGCGCAAGGCTTTTAAGGCAGTGAACGAAGAAAAAATTCCTATTAATTTATTTAGCCGCATATGCTTCCAAGTTGTGTAACTTGAATTTCTTCCTTCTGGGCATCAATCTCAATCCAAATCAGAAGAAACCCAGAGAAATCCAATCAAAATTCATGACTTTGAAGGCTAAATAAATAAATTATTAGTAAAAGCGCGAAGGCGCAGCGTACCTTGAGGCGTTTCAACCAGCAACTCAGTTGAAGCGCGGCAACCACATTTATTTTTCCACCCACCGCAAGTAGGTATGCAGCCAAACAAACTTAATTATGTGTCAATTAAAACTTCGCCACAAGTGGCAAACCAAAACCATACATATACGATTCACAAATATTTAATTTCACAACAGACAAAAACTGCGCGTCTGTCAAAAATCCTGCTTAATCGAGAAGTGTCAACGCCATTTGAACTTCTTGCGTTTAACCGCACACACTTTACGCATATGTATTGAAGTGCAAATGTACATACATTACTACTACACCTTACTCCAACTCTGGCAGTGAATTTGTTTGATAAACAAACTTTCCGTGTGTCAAGCAATTGCGAAATCGTCAAAGTGGCAAATGTGGTAAGGGTTGCTGTTAAATTCAGAACTCTTAATGTGTCTTCTGTTTTGTTTTCTTCGTTTTGTATGCACGTAACGCAAAGAAATTTGCCGAATTAACAAATTACGCCGGAAAGTAGGCGAGCAAAATGGTAGGCTGTCGAAAGTTTGTTTTAATTTATGCACCTGGAGTTGACTTGGTTTTTGGTTTCGAAATTACATATGCTTACCTCAAACTACTACACACTTCTCTAACTTCAAGAGCAAAAAAAAAATCTCACTCACAAGTATATAACTACTCTTAAAATTTTGCTACAATTTACGCAAATTCCCTATTCTTTAATAATATTTAATATATGTATGTATGATCTGATAATTCTTAGTGTTTATGTTATTTTTTATTTTTTTTCCAAATTATATAAACACATCAGGGAAGCCAGCTCGTGGGGAATTCCCCGAATTGCATACCCAAAAAACTTAATTAAAATGCTTCAAATTTTTACGATAGTTTTGGAGTTTTTTTTTAATATTGCACAAAGTTTGAAAATTGGATACGGTTTTTGTTAAAGAACTAACTATATTTTAATCAAAAAATAACTTAAATCAAAAATTTAGTGCAACTAATTTTTTTACGACCACTGTATGTTTGTAAACATTATATTCACATTTTTTAATGACTTTTTGTTAACTAACCTTATAAAATTTTGGTTTATGAATACATAGATGAATAACATTAGAAGAAAACAATAAACAGAAAGACCAGCAATATTTCAAATTTCATATTTTTTTGTAAATAAGGAGATATGGGAATTTGTCGAAATTTCAGGCAAAATCGGGGAATTTCAATGTCGAAATCGGGGAATTATAAAAAAATGAGTTGACTACCCTGAAACAAATACACAAATACCTAATAAAGGAAACTTTCAATACTAAGTAATCAGTAAGGCTACGCAGCAAAATTTGTCTTAAGTGAGAGTTTTGTGCAAATTTTACTACCGCTTTGCGATTTTAAACACACGCGCTCAAAATTTGCATGCTACAGTAAGCCTTTTTTAGGCGACTATCGTCTTGTGCCCAGGCAGAAAATTAAAGCAACGTCATTTTCAATATAAGCGATAATAATGTTTGAAGCATCAGTGGTTATTTTGAAAGTTAAAAATGTTGAAAGTTGCCGCGGATTGGCAAGTCACTGGGTTTGTTTGAAAGATGATTAGCCCTTCTGTGTAGAAAGCGAAGTAATATATTAGGAACTTTTGAATAAATAGCATACAAAGCAGACACAATGAGAATTGAAAACTGATATAATACTTTTTTTTTATTAATTCTAACTTTCATACATATCTAAGTAACGATGTCAGACAGAAAATCAAGTTAAATTATTATTTTTTTTTAATTTAAAAACTTAAGCTTTGGGAAATTAATAGCGTTATGCAGCTTATGGAATTAAAATAAGGCAACATTTTTTACTTTCAACAAAGTACACTCTACTGTAGTTGAGAGTTGCACTAATGTATTGTTGGTTATTGCATACTTTTAGGCGCACTAATTGATCATTCGTACATACGGTTTTTTTCTGTTGAGTAGCCTGATTTATTTTGGTATTTTATATTTTGGTATTTTATATTTTTTACTAAACACATGTACCTGCATGTGTTTAACTAATATTTTTGTATCAAGTTATATATTTTCCATTTTCTTTTGCGAAAAAAGGTTTTTTGTGCATAGTTTGAGAAGACTTTGGGTTCATAAAAATTATCATAAA